TGCCAGCAGTCCTGCTGCGACCCATGCCAGCAGTCCTGCTGTGACCCGTGCCAGAAGCCCTGCTGTGACCCATGCCAGAAGTCCTGCTGTGACCCATGCCAGCAGTCCTGCTGTGACCCATGCCAGCAGTCTTGCTGTGACCCATGCCAGCAGTCCTGCTGTGACCCATGCCAGCAGTCTTGCTGTGACCCATGCCAGCAGTCCTGCTGTGACCCGTGCCAGCAGTCCTGCTGTGACCCATGCCAGCAGCCCATCTGCTGCACCAAGGTGTGCCAGAAGTCCTGCTGCTGCTGTGGCCAGCGACCCTGCTGCTGCTGTGGCTGCCGCCCCTGCTGCTGCTCTGGATGTCTGTCTTGCTGCTCCTACGTGGTGAAGAAAAAGCCCGTTATGGTGTGCTGCAGTCCTGTGCAATGCTGCTCTCCCGCCGCGAAGTGTTCCATACCCATCCAGCAGTGCTGCGCCGCAATCAAGAAGCGTTGCTGAGCCACCTCTGGGTAGCAAAAGCAACTCTGCTGGCTCCCGTCTCTGGCATGGAACAAGAACGGGCACAAGGAGATGAAAACCTACTCATTTGCTTCTGGTTCACATGATGATGCAGTGAACACCTAGAGATTTTCTTCTTGCTTTCAAACTTCAGCTGTCGTCTTCTTTCAGGCTGGGAATTATCAAGCATCTGCAATGCACTTGAATAGATCACCCTTTGTATAAGACAACAAGCTATTAGATATTAGTGGGGCTGTTAATTCTCTTCTTGGTGTACGGGATTCAGGATACCTTTGCTGTTAAAGTGATCATTCTTCGTTTTCTCTCTTGACTTGTAGACAATAAAATTTAGGATTAAGCAAAACGCAAAATCTTGTCTTTTCGTTGTTCTTACATCTCTTTGTCCAGAATACGTCCTCATTCTGGTGCCATTTTCTGCGCCTTCAGCCAGGCTCCTGCTGGCTACAGACGTGCTGCCATGGCACAGCAGAACCCTTAGGAAACAAAGAGCTGCCCAGCCATGCTTCCCATTAGCATAAATTAGGTCATGGCTAAAGACAGCAAGTAGAGCAGTGTGATCCCTTCTTGCACCTACTGATCACCTGCCTCAGTTAGCTCAATTTTTACTATAAAACTAAGTGGTTAAGGTAAATAAAACTCAAAGGTCACAGACTTAATAAAGTGCGCATAATTCCACCACCTGGAAACACACCACTCCGTAAAATGTATAGGAAGTCACCCTGATGTTGGAATAGGTATCTCAATAGGTACTGAGACAAAATCACTGCTTACTGAATATCAGACACCATCTTCTTCTAATATCATGTTTGCAAATAAAATTTCAAAAAGCACCTTAGATCGGTTGATTATTTTTACGTGAGCAGAGATTTTCATATGTAGCATTCCTGGATTACAAGCAGTGGAATGAAACCCAGGTGTTAGCATAAAACTTAAAAGCTTCATTCCTAAAATAGCACACACATGAGTCAACAATACCTTTTCTACCTAGCTGGGACTTCCTTTGCTATTAAAATTCAGGACTCAGCTGAGAATTGCATGTCTCAGGAAAACGCCTTGAGCACTGTCTTGATTGCTTCCCTCAACCAAATCTTCAGAGCATACACAAACTCCACATTAGAATAATCTTCTGTACCATGTTAATCTCTTCTGAAAACATTACTCACATCTTTAGGAGTTTTTTATTAGTAGGTAAATCAGGTACAATACACTGGCAGAAGGATATCCTATACCATACCGTATCAGAACCATGCTATATCAGAAGTGCATTCTGTTAAGCAAATCTTGTGAATATTAATTTCATCATATCCTGGAAAACCTGCCATGACAGATTCTTCCCCATTCACAAAGGTATTGCAGCTCTCAAATTCATGTAGCCACCACGGAAGTTTACGAAGACATCATGGCATGGCATGGCATGGTATGGCATGGCATGGCTTGGCATGTAAAAGGGATTTAGTGTAGGAGATGTTTTTTCTGACCCAGCTATACATTAAATGCCAGTATCTCCTCAATATCTGTATAAAACCCTGAGTAGCAACAGCCTTGCAGACATAGACCTGTTGGAGAGGGTCCAGAGGAGGCCCTAAAAATGATCAGAGGGATGGAACACCTCTGCTGGGAGGACAGGCTGAGAGAGCTGGGGTTGTTGGGAGAAAAGAAGGCTCCAGGGAAACCTTATTTCTTGTAAGAAAGATGGGGACAGACTTTTTAGCAGGGCCTGTTGTGACAGGACAAGGAGTGATGGTTCTAAGGGGAGATTCAGACTAGATATAACGAAGAAATTTTTTAGGCTGAGGGTGGTAAGACCCTGGCCCAGGCTGCCAGGGAGAAGCCCCATCCCTGGAGACGTTCAAGGTCAGGTTGGATGGAGCTTTGAGCAGCCTAATCTGGCTAAAGAAGTCCCTGCTCACAGCATGGGGGTTGGACTAGATGAGCTTTAAAGGTGCCTTCCAACCCAAACCAATCTATGGTTCTAACACACGGATCATCTTGGCCAATATGGCAACAATAAAGCCTGATAAAAAGGTGATAAATTACTTATTCAGTGGACAACATGTTTGAGGGCTTACACAAAGAGGGCATTGCTTCCTGCAGGCAGGTATCTGGCTATTATCGCTTGACCAAAGCGATGCTCCCCTAGGGAAAATTCCAGAAGAGTCAGCCAGTGTCACAGGAGGTCATGTTCACGTCTTGGGAAGAAACTACGTGTCCCAACCACGAGGGATCACCTGCCACCACTCCAGCTTCACATTCAGAGTCTTCTGAACATGATAGCAGCCTTTATTTGCCATGAATAGATACCGACTCAGCATCTTGGGACTCTCATATTGATGTCCCCTCTCTTCAGATGAAAACTCCATCAACACCACTTTCTTCTCACGTGGAGCTGTCCTGGCTCTGCAAGTGGCCACAGTGCCTTCCCCCATCCCCAAGCCTCTTTCATAGTATCTGTCTTGATCCAACCATCTCATCCATTCCCTCCTGACCGTTCAGTCAAGCTTTGCATACACAACAGCCTTGGCCTCAGCACACTGCAGCCAAAAAAACTGTAAGCAATTGCTGGAAAAGTCCTGTCAAAGTGCCTGAACTCAGAGTATTTGTGAGATACTAGCTGGGCTCCTGAGGTACAGGGAAAGGGCATGGAGAAACACATTCAGGATTGGATTTCCATGGATTTCCAACCTCATGCTGTCTCGGTTTCACAGACCTTAGAAATAATCTCAGAGTGTACAGAAACAACACAGAAAAAAGATAACATGTGGGTACTATTTCTTTGAAAGCTGCTAATTTAGACTTAATCCATCCCTTCCATGGATGAAAATGGAAAAAAATCTTAATAGTTTATCAGAAATAAAAAGCAGGATGTGTGGGGACCAAGCACCATAGAGGGAGACCCAAGATCAAGACTGAGAAAGGAGAAACTCTTCAGTCTTAACTTTGACCACACAACCACCCCTCAGAGCAGGAAAAAAAGATTCACATTGACCAACAGTTTCCACGGATGTCCCAAAATCCCAGCCAAGTGCAGAGGCGATACGTGAGCGATGATGTTTCCAGGTTCCATGCATGGTTCTCCCACTGCTTCAGCACCCACCTCCCCCGGGCACATTGTTAAGCATTTCTGTGTCTCAAGGTCATTCCTTGGGAAGTGGATAGGAATACCTTACAGCTACCGCCGGTTCCCATTAATGCAAATTCATTAGAAAATTTGCACTTGTTGTCTATACGTACAACTAATTACAGTGCAGAATTGAGTGGTGAGCAAACCGAAAGAGGTAAAGATTAAATACCAGAGGACACATGAGAGGCATATGCTGGGTGATACACAGTGAAGTCAAAATTGCCAAAGAATGCCTCATTTCCAGGGGGATGGCTTTGAAGCATATAAAAGGCTCCCCGTCACAGTGGTCTTCATTCGCTCGTCTTGAGTTCTCTCTTGTCCTCACTAGTCAACAGGGTAAGTCGGAGCTTACTACTTGCCTTTTCATTTGCACTCTGCTGTACTTCCATGTGCTTTTGCAGGAAGCCATCCAGGATTTCCACTACTGTCTGGTTTGGGACCAATTTTGAAGGGTTGGGTTTGGGGTCCATCTGGATGGCTTCTTTCTGATGGAACCGGTGCTGGACAACATGCCAAATGCACTGGTGTCCAATGCGAAAATATGGAGATCTCAGGGACAGGCTGTCATGGGATTCTGAACAGTAGGGACTTCCCCAGCCAGTTTGGGACGGACTTTGGGATAAGCATGCTTTAAGCTGCCTAAACAACCGGGAGATTCAAGCAGAGAAAAAGATGCTCTCTCTGTTCCTTCCAGCTTTGCCTACACTACTACCAACAACATGTCCAGCGGAGGTTGTGGGTGCTGCGGTGGAAACAACAACAGTAACATCGTGTGCTGCTACAGCACCAAGAAGTCGTCCTGCAAGACGCCAATGCAGTGCTGCTCACCCATGCAGTGCTGCACACCCTCGCAGTGCTGCTACCCCTCCACCTGCTGCATGCCCATTCAGACCTACTGCTACACCATGAGCAACAACAACAACAACAACAGAGGCTGCTGCGGAGGCTGCTGCGGTGGCAACTAAACCCACTCGGCAAAGGGCAGGCTGGGCTGTGCCGCCTGCTGCTTCCCTCCTGGCTAACTCGGTGTTGGATATGGATACGGATACCGCCCTAAATCCTCTTCTTCCTTTGCTTAGAGACTGTAGATCATCTCTCCTCTTCTTTCCCTGCCTTTAATCACCAAATGCTTGTAACGTGCTTTGAAGCTTCTACCTGCCAATCAATGTGATTTTCCTTTGTAAGCACTAGTCCTGTTGTTAATTTTCTTCTTGGTGTGTGGGCTGTTTAATTCTTTTCATCACTGTTTTGCTTCAATCTGTCTGAAAAGCAATAAAACCTGTAGATCGTGACCCTGCAAACCCCCTGGTGTTTTTCTGTTTGCTAGCTGGTGAATCCAGGCTGCGTCAGCACATCTATTGTCTTTTCTTTGCATTTCTTTACAGTGTTGGGATGCTCCTGTCTAAAAGATGCTAACTAGGGGGCTTTGCTTGCACAAAGAAAATCAACACATCTCTGATGCAGTTCTGAGCTTCTGCATGGGTCTATTCAAACACAAGCTGAGGGTCTGGCATCTCAGCAAGTAGTATTGCAACCTGGTCTAGCGAACGTTGTCCCTGCCCATGGCAAGGGGGTTGGAACTAGATGATCTTTAAGGTCCCTTCCAACCTGAACCATTCTATGATTCTATGATTACTCCCCTCATCATAAAACGACAAAGAAATAGGGATAAAATAATACATAAACTTGTAAAGGATGAGAATTTCTCCTGAAAAAAAATTGCCACAGGCACAGGCCAACTAGGAAAGCTCTGTGTATTTCAACCAGCTAGACGTCTGCTTCAGAACCTACAGACAGTCCCTATAAATAGTTTAACACTTACGAGATTGAGATCTTGCCTCTGCTAAAATGCCTGACTTACCAGGTACCGAGTTGAAGTGTTAGAACAAATGGTGAGAAACCTCGACCGTCTTCAAGGAGTGACTGGGTCGGTAAGAGTTGTACCAAAACACAGCATGCAAGATCTGCACTGCAGTCCTTATTCTGTGTCTAACGCCCTTTGCTGACCCTGTTTCGACACCATTTCAGTCCCTTCTTTGCATTAAGATACCATAACCCACTCAACAAAGACCACTGTAGTACTTAGGTTACATGAATGACTGGACATGACTATCATGTGTAGGAAATGCCCACCTAGATCATCACTCCTTCTTGTAGTTGCAGGACTTGCCAATGAGAATGTTCCCTCTTGAGACACAAGTGAACTGTGCCCCTTTGCTTCTGCCCCATTAATTCCTTGTAAATTAATCAGTTCTCATGGGTAGGCAAGTGTACGCCTCTCAGAGGGGACCTGCGGTAAAGGAAATGCCGTGCATCTTCTTCTACCCTGTCTGGAGAAGTTGTGACTACATGTGTTGCTTCTCCAGCATTTCACTCAAGGAATTGTTCTCATTCCAGAAAAGCCTGGAAAGGAGCTGCCTGCATTTACTGTAGGGACGAAGCAGCTCTAAAATCACAATCTGCTCCCCCTTGCATCCTGCAGAAAGCAAATCCAGCATCCTCAGGGCTGACAGCAGCTCACCTAGGGGGACCCCCCCCTTCAGAGTACCCCAGGGATCCTGGAGGATGTCAGGCAACCGGCATGGAACTCGCCAGGCAGGCTCCACCATCCTCTCATTAGGCAGCACTCCTCTCAGGATAACGTGGCAAGGTCTTCAAATGGGAGCTGCAATTTTAGGCCGCGGAAAAAATTCCTCCCAAATACTCTATGTTCCTGCCAGCATTCAGCCCCACAGCAAAGTGCATTGGAGGCAGTGGCATTCATCCACCCTGGCTCAGTTGCCCAAGGCTCTGCCTTACCTTGACCTTACTCCCTTCCTCTCTCCCTCCCAGAAAATGATTCTGCCTCAACAATGTCTCTTCCTGCATCACTTCTGAGTCTCTGCCTCCCGCTTAGCTCCATGACCCCAGTTAGGACAAGTTTTGTGTGCTTGTGACATCTCTTCCACCTTCATCTTCCTCTCACCGTCTCAGTCCGTGCTGGGCTCCATCATTTACCGCTTCCAACGCCCACAAAGGGTCTTGTGCAACCTCCTAGCCTAAACTCCACTTCCTCCCTGAGAAGCTGGGCAGGGGTGGTCCTGCTTGGCGCCAGGGCTGTAGCACACAAGGGGATTTCAGCTGGGTGCAAGGGGAGGTTGCAGGAGGGACGTGTTGTCTTGCAATGCATCGTGCCCAGTCCCAGAGCCATGGCTCCTTGGGTTGCCGCTTGCACAGGCAGTGCTGTCCTTTAACTTTTTAATCAAAATGCAAAATATTCTGAAGCGAATATTCCATTCAGGGTTTTCAAAAATGTTTCTAGGAAAGCAGTCCCAGCAAAGCAGAGCAGGAACTGAGGCACTCCTGGATTAGTGATGCCCGCATGCAAACCTGAACCCCCCAGACTGAAGGATTTGCAAAAGCTTAGACAAGGCAAAAGACAAAGATGGCTTTGGCGTCACAAAGATGCTCTTAGCATGCATGAGGGTAAGATGATCTTACATGAAGTCATGTGCAGGTGACTGAGATCCAGGAGCCAGCGTGACTCCCAACACATCCTAAACACATGATCTTCTTGCACCTTGCTCACGTGCATGTTCTGTGACTGGGAACAAACTTATCTATTTTCATGAAATTTTCCAAATATTTGTTTCAAACTCCAGTTCGATGAAACAGTCCATCACGTGCCAGAAAGACACAACCCAGGGGTTCAGTTTCGGCTCTTACGCTGATTCAGCACCAGCCACCGCTGAGTAAGTCCCATAGCATCTTTGGCCATCACGGTCTGCATTTGTTAAACAGATACGAGGACACATTTTTGGGCTCCCTTGCAAGGTTGCAGAGAGGACAGATTCATCAGTATTCATAGGAGTCCTTTGATTATCTGCAGGCTAAACAATTACGAGGCAAAACAAAGGTAGTGATCACAAATAATAAGGCAAAGAGTAAATACCAAGAGACACGTATAGCTAAAAAGTATGGGTTTAGATTAGTAATCAGGGAAGTTCAAATGGTCAATTGCTGTCTCACTTCCAGGAGGAAGGTTCCTAGGACTATAAAAGGTCTCCTGGCCCAGCTCGCTTCATTCGCTCATCTTCTCTTCCCTTCACCTCTCCTCACTCTTCAACAGGGTAAGTGAGAACATCTAAATCTTCCTTCCTTTCCACAAAAGAAAAATGCTATGGATATCTTATAACAGTATCCAAATATAACCAGGTATCTGGACTGGGACTTTGGCTGGAGTTGGGCTTTTATAAACCTTGTACTAGGAATTATGTGGATGAGCTAGAAGCGTTAAATGATGGAGAGGCTACAGGCGTATCAGCAGGGCCACGCAGAGCAAGGGGACCGAGAATGTTTCAGGAGGGCCCAAATCGAGGACTATGCACACTGTGCTGTGTGATGCTTGCTAAGACATTAGGGGTGCCCTATGTAGGCATCTACGTTGCAGCAAAAAGGCAGAGAGAATAGTTACGAGCAAGATTTACTACAAACAGGGCAGCACTCCGTTTCAGCGCCTTGAATCTCCAAATCTAGCATAAACAGAGCTTTGAATCAATTCTGTGTTTCCAAATATCCTGCTCCCAGTCACAGACAGACTCTCTCTGTTCCTTCCAGCTTTGCCTACACTACTACCAACAACATGTCCAGCGGAGGTTGTGGGTGCTGCGGTGGAAACAACAACAATAACAGCGTAGTGTACTGCTACAGCAGCCCAAAGAGCCGCAAGATGCCGATGTGCTGCCCGCCCACGCAGTGCTGCTACCCCTCCCCCTGCTGCATGCCCATGCAGATGTGCTGCTACAGCATGAACAACAACAACAACAGAGGCTGCTGCGGAGGCTGCTGCGGTGGCAACTAAACCCGCTCGGCAAAGGGCAGGCTGGGCTGTGCCGCCTGCTGCTTCCCTCCTGGCTAACTCGGTGTTGGATATGGATATGGATATGGATATGGATATGGCCCTGAACACTTGTACTCCATTGCTTAGAGACTGTAGATCATCTCTCCTCTTCTTTGCCTGCCTTTAATCACCAAACACTTGTAACGTGCTTTGAAGTTGCTACCCGCTGATCAGTGTGATTTTCCTTTGTAAGCACTAGTCCTGCTGCTAATTTTCCTCTTGTTGTGTGGGATGTTTAATGCTGATGATGTATCATACTCCCTTTTCTTGCTTTAATCTCCAATTAGTCATGAAAGACAATAAAATTTCTAAGTTATGACACTGCAAACTTCTGGTGTGTGTTTGTTCATTTATCTTTGTCTTTTAAACTATAGCTCTGGTCTGGGATTTTTTTTAGCATTTGCTTAGTTTCTGAATATAAAGAATTTGTCATGCTGATGATGATAGCACCCCAGCATATGCAGTAAGCTTCTTGGGTCAGTCTCTCATCTGGGGAAAAACAGTGCTTGCTAGTGTCAGTACATTACCTAAGCTACAGGAGAACCCTCTTGGCCATGCAGTTTCGTGCTATCTTTCCCCTGCTCATGACTCTGAATATACACAGTCTGAGATCAAAGCATCTGTATGGTCCCAAAGCCAGAGCTAAAGGTCTTTTTTTGCCAATGGAAATCTCTCCAGCAAATTTGCTGAGCTTTAAAGCAGGCTTCTTAAAAGGTTTGGTGCCTTGTCAATAAGACTAAATAGGCCACAAGCATAGTCTGCACAGCACAGGGAGGGAGGGAGTCATCGAAAGATGTGGAGATATAAGTCTAGCCTGAGGGATTCAGAAATACTTTCTAATGTCACCTGGAAGTCTATTGAAATGTGTCAGCTTTTAAGAGATGAGGTTCAGGAACGAAATATTTGCACTTTGTGATTTGTAAAATCCTCACGAAGGGAAGTGACTCCAAAACATCTCTTTGAACATGAAAAACTCCAAAACCAGCATAATCTTGGGACTGCAGTAATGAGTTACAAATCTAAAATCCTCGTTGGCCCTTAACAGATAACAAAGTCTTTTCTGTCCTTACATGCAAGTCCTGTGGC